CAGTGACTTGCTTATGTCTCCGACTTTCAGGGCACTTTGTTATCTTGGTGAATGAGAGCTGTATATCATCTAAAGTGTTACTGTCGATCCGAGTCACCTGTTTTCTATGAGGACCATGGATTAATAGTCTTCCCCTTCACTGAAATAAGGCATTATTTAAATTTTATTATTTAAAAATTACTTTAAATTGTCAGAGCTTTGGGGGAAGGTTTAATAAATGATATTTTAGCTACAAGAAAGAATAATCTATTGCCAATAAATGTCAGTATTCAGTAGAATATTTTAATGGCAAGGGAAAATGCTGATGATCTATTGCTAAGCATTAAAAGCTGGTTACAAATGTTGTGCCTTGGATGACCCAAATCTATTAAAAAAGTAGATAGAAAAGAAAAGACTGAAATGTGAGAAAAATTGTAATAGTGTTTGTCCTTGGTAAATGGGAAATTTATTTTTAAAAATTATAATTTTACAACTTACTGAAATTTTCATCTTTTCCCTTGCAAAACCATATAGAGCATTTAGAAGGAAAGAAAATGATGCATTAAAATTTTTCTGACTCTTCCCTCCTTCCTCAAAATTTGAGATTCATCTGTTTTAGCATCATGCATGGTACAGATTTACAGAGAAATTTCAGTGGCATTATTAGATTGCTGCTGTTCTCTCAATAGTGCCCAGGGAGGTGGCTCAGCCCAGATTGTCATCCCAACAGCCCCTATGCATCCTTCTAGAAAGTTCCTGGCTACTGTGGAGGCCCTACTTTATGGGTTCAGTGGACTACTGAGGTCTAGCTTCAATGAATCAACTCTCTATCTGTGACCAACCCTCTGGGCTTGCTCAACTCTATGGTTCCCAACAGAAGTTTAGGGAGCCTGGGTGGGCAGAGGGGAGAAGTCTTGGGATAATTTCAGAGGGGATCAGAGTTCCAATCCTGAAGTAGGGGCTTTCCAGAAAGCATCTATTACCTAATGGAATGTTACCCAGGGGAGTGAGTGAGCATATTGTGAGGCCCAAAATGTCCCCAAGATGGAATTGCCAGCTGGCTCCTAGGAATGGAGGGACAGGCATATTCCTGAGTGCCCACTAGGTGGCAGGCCCTTTCCTGTCCTGAGTCCTTATGAGTCTCTCAAAGGCTTGGGGACACTGGTCTAAAGGGTCACTAGAAGGGACAGTTCAAACACAGATTCTACGGTCCATTCCATCTCTAGGCTCTCCAACTCAAAGGTCCAGCTGGGAACCTCACATTCTTCTTTCTCTTTCCTTCTAGTCCTTCTTTTAGTAAAAGTCTCACTCTGTGGTCCAAGCTGGCCTCCAACTCACTGTCCTCCTCCTTCTTTAGCGCTGCATTTGGAGTGCCGGGGTTTCACAACGAATCACCACACGCAGCTCCGACTCTCATTTCTAACAGCTGCTGGAACTCCGGCTAGGACCGCTCTCCGGTGTGCACATGTTGCGCCCAGGATAAGTCAACGTGGGTTCTGGGAAGGAGAGGAGGAGGTGGCGTAGTCTCTGACACAGAATGTGAGGGGGCTCTAGAGCTGGTGTCACCCGCATGAATGCAGCTAATAAAGTACTCATATGAGCTGCTTAAAATAGGAGGTAGGAACCCCAAATAAGCTTCAAACAAAATATCAGTCAACGATTCTCAAATTATTTGAAGTAAGGGTATTAAGAAACTCCACCCATCAGAGACCAATGCATTCCTTTTCATGCTTAAGACTTAGGCACAGTTCTAGCCACATGTGGCTGATCAGGCAAGTCTGACAGTACCAAACTGGTTTGTGTCTGGCTCAGGGTGTGGCAGCCATTGATGAGGCATCTGGATTGTGGGTAATGATAAGGTGCTGTGAAGGTTTCTGAAGCTGGTTCTCCATTTCTCGCCTTGCATCAGCAGAGAGTGACAATGATCAGTTTGTAGCCCACAAACCACGCATGAAAGTATTCTGGTCTAGCTTTGGTAGATTACTGATTTGGGGATGGGCTTGTTGTGCAGCCTCAAGCAGCCAATGTATTGTTTTGAATTGCTGAACCACGAGTTAACTTTGTATATGGTTCAAGGTCATTTGGTTCTTATCAGTTACTTCTGGGGTGCTTGGAAGGAGGCTAATCGAATGTCCTTTTGGCTCACCTGCTCTTTCTTCATGCTTAGACATCGAGCATAATGTCCTGGACACAGTAGGCCCTGTACAAACACTGGAAGATAAATGCAGACAGGAGGCGGCCAGGACATCAACCGTTTTCAGGGTGGTGGCCAGCCAGGAGGTAAATGCCCAGGACAAACGGCCCTCAGACAACACTTTCTTTATGGACTGTATAGACACAGCAGATCAACGGTGCCAATGGAGAAGAACCAACTCCCAAGGGAAATGTAGGCCTCACTCACCAGTGTGCTGAGACGTGAGGGAAATTTACTTCAGTAGATTCTTGGGCTTTGTGACTCGGGCCACTTGGGTGTCATTTCCAGGCTGAATCAGGACACTGTTTTATGCCCAGGTCAAAGTGAGCCTTGGTGGGACCTCTGGAAACCTCACAAAGTTTGCCTCCGTTGTTTTCCTTTCACTACTAGAATAACCAACATGCACTTGGATGATTTAGGAAGAGCTGGAAGCAGATCTGAGCTTCATAAAACAACCCGCCTACCCACACTCACCTGCTCAACTCTCCCAGCTCCATTCCTTGTTGGGCTATTCAAGGAATTTACGTGACTTATGATGTACAGCCAATAATACTGATCACCGGAAAAATGGTAGCTGCTATTTAAAGTGCACTGCAAGTCAGGTACTGTGCTGAATGTTTAAGTACATTATACTAGGTAGTTTTTATCAACCTAACATTTATTTAAGTTTGCTCTAAACATACAGTGGGAAGGCTGGTATCCTAGTCCAAATGTGTCAATCTCAAAATGGCGTGCAGCCATTTTGCTGTGGAGTCCTATACCCAAAGGCTGTAACTTGTCTGTTTATCTTTTCTTTCTTGAAGGTGTCTCATATTTAGCCTTAGTTAGCCTTAGATTTGCTATCCTTCTGCCTCAGCATCCTGTGTGCTGGAACTCCCACCCCCTTTTACTTTCAAGATATTTCAACAAACTGAAAGTTTAATGTTTAGAACTCTACATATCTAAGAACAAAATTCCTCATAATAGGGCAGCACTCTGTGAAGGAATGTGTTTGGGTCCCAGTTGTGAAGGAGTCAAATTCAGTTCACTAGGTCCTTAAATCATAATGATGTTGGCATTTCACTATAAATCAAAGACAGACAAGGTTTTACTGCAACCTATAAAATCTGAAGATACAATCAGCTTATAAATCTAAATTGTAGTTCAAGTAAATATGCATGTGCACACCCACTCACACGTGGAGACTTACCTGTTTTACATCCCCACTTCTTTGAAAAAAATCTTATTTTGCCATTTTTCTAAATACCCTGTTCAAAATTTCAAAGTCTTTCCTAGAAATGTCTGCATAAACAAGACTGTAATAATGCCTATATCAATGGGCATATTATGGTGGAAGGTGGAAATTTCACAGGGTCCCACCCCTAGACAAAGAACTACAGGTAACTAATGACTGCAGAAAGAGAATTAGCCTCTCCCAAGTGTGAACCCCTTATTGGTATCCAGTGCAGAGTGGTCAGCCCTGAAATAATATGTATGCAAACAACAAAACAGACTCAGCAGGCTGCATTTATGTACTTGTGCACACACACACACACACACACACACACACACACACATGTATGTTTGTCACAATAATAATCAAAGAAAATGAAGCTCTCAAGTTGAGAGTGGGGTGGGGCACGTGGGAGATTTTGAAGGGAGAGTGCCTGGGAGGAACTAGAAGGAGGAGAAGGAGGGGGAGGTAGTGTAATTCTATTTCAATTTAAAACATTAAAAAAAACCTTTAAACTTCTAAATAATCAACACGGAAGTTCAAGTATCACCTCTCAAAATGAAATGGTGTTCCTGCCTGTGCTCTAGTCAGAGCTGATGGATCTTTCTGAGTCAACTAGAAGTTATGGAGGTTCTGAAGTGTTTCCCGAAAATCAGGAAGGCCTGGGCTCTTATTCGTGAGTGGTAAGTATAACTGTGGCTTATGTTCAAGACAGGTCAGTGGTATGGTTCTTCACGGCTCATCTATTATTATGTATCGATATGTGATATATTGTTATTTGATTGTGAGATTTTCAATTTTCAAACAGACAATTTAAACTTTACCATAAGTAAAAACCAAAAGACCAATCATGATCGTTTTAGCTTTTAAGCTCTCAACTGGAAAAGAATGGGTAGTTACAAGAACTTGGACACTTACAGACATAGGCTGCTTTAAGAAGCAAAGATTTTGGGCAACCCTAAGACTGTAACGCGATCAGCATGGAAGACATCTGTCAGGTGGGGTGGCCTGAGGTGACAGCAGCTAAGTCTTATGTGATCAGGAACCTGGGCAGCTTTGGCTGGTTTTGCTTCCCCTCTTGAGGTGACTACCTCCTCCTTTATGAGGTGACAACTGCCCAACACCCTAATCTTCTCTCCATGACCGTGACACAGGATTTAGTGACCACAAGCCATGTTCAAATCTCCCTGTCAAGCATGAATTGTCTATGTAGGTTAAAGACAGGCATCGAAATCCGTTAGCTACCGGTGCAATTGGGATAAGAAACACATGCATAAGCACACACTCAGAAGCACACCACAAAACAAGTAGTTACGAAGGCAGCAATGTCTGTTTCCACTCAGAGAGAAGCAGAACTAAAGATCAAATTAGCAACACATTTGCTCCTTAAAGAAATAAAAAGGATCTCTCCTCCAGTGTTGGGGTATGGCATGAAGTGCTTGCCTTTGGACCCCACTTGTTTACTTATGCTTAAAAGAAAATTAGAGGATGAAGACAACATGGAGGAACAGCCAGGGAAACACACTGACACTAGGCAGGTGAAGAAATGGAGGAGGAGCACCACCATGGAAGAGATGCACACGTGTGGTAATGATCTAGTAGGAAGTGGGTTACCTTTACATTTCTTCTCTTCGGTCTGGAAGGTCTGGGCACTTGAGACGCTCTGATCGTTCACATCGTCAGGATCCAGATGGAATATAGAACTCGTCCAAGTGGCCTGGATGAGGTGTGGGGATGCTTGCTCATCCTTCAGTGCACCGCGCCTCTCCACATGGCTCTTCCTGTGCAGGCAGGCTTCGGACATTCCTACGAGCTTCCAATCCTGTCCTCGCTCTGGACGGGGCTTCTGTTTGTCCCAGGCTGGAAGGCCATTTTCTGGTGGGAGGGGAGTGAAAACGTGAGATAACAGACTGTAGGTATTGTCAAGGTTTTGCTGAGATTGTGTGTCTTGGAAGCCAGTGTCCTTTTGGGCTGACACTGTTCACATGAACCTCCACTGTGATGTCAGGACATGCTGAGGCTGTTAGCGTTGGGCACAGAGCCATCTAAGCTGGATGGCCTGTTGGAGTAACCAACACATTTCCCCCCTCCCCGTTTCTCGAACTTCTCCACAGCAAGGCTCTACTGGTCTCACCACTAGAGAAGCAGCCCAAGAGTGAGCTGATACTGGTTTATATCACTGCTTAGATGACCATTTGAGGTCTTAAGAGTCAGGGCTGGCCATGACCTTAGGTTGGATCCTTAGGATATAGCACATCCGGGATGCAGCCTTGTTTGACTTGGGTTTTATCACAGACTGACCTGAGAGACATTGGCACACTCAAGTGGCCACACACTGAGACTAATAAGCTGCTATTCTTACCATTTTTGACTCTGATGGCAATACTAAGGAAACAGGAAGGAGCCACCATCAACAAAACACAGCATGGAGCAGCAACAGCCCCCAAGCCTAGATCCAGATCATTCACATGGAAGTTCTGTGTTCAATGGAGACCCAAATGGGCCATGAAATCACATAAAAGTCATGCTTCCTCTGTATGCCAAAGACAGAAGGATGAGCCTGGATCTTTCAGGGTGGGTACCAGAAAGCTAATACTTTATTGTTTTTGAGTTCGGCCTTTGGGGTTTGTAGGCCTGTTTTCTAGAATGGGCAAAAATACAATAATATAGTGAATTTCTTACTGAGAAGCATCTTCTCTACTGACAATTTTCACCTTATTCAATGTCTTTACTATATAGGAAGATAAAGTAGAGGACAAAAATAATAAGAACACACACTCACACATCACATACATACTACACATACACTTATACACACACATTCACACACACACTGTACACACACCACACTCACATCCACACACATCACACACTCACACTCATACATACCACACACTGACACTCACATGCATATACCATACACACACACTCACAGTCACACACACACACTCACATGCACACACCACACACACACCACACACTCACACATGCAAAGTACAACCTACTTGGTCACCTGTTTCCAGAAATCCTTAGCAACTATGTGCCAGAATTAGGAAGACTGCAATTTATAAATGAAGTTTTCAAATTTTAATTTTTTGGGTGATTGAACCCAGGGCCTTGTACATGTCAGGCTAGTGTTTCATCACTTGGGCACATCCTTTCTGGGTGAATTTTCTGTTATGCTGAAGTTACCAAAAGGCCACAGTTGAATCCCTGGTGCTTACAGGGACCAATCCATCTGGGCTTGTGCCTTGGCATGGGGGATTTGTCAAATTGTTTAATAAAAGAGTTAGGCATTCTTTGGGTTTCCAGAGCACTCTTCCTGAAGCTACTAGAATCTTAAGCTGAGATAGTCTGGATGGTTGATCTGGAAGCATCAGCTGTCAGAAGTCACTTTTGGAAGTAATGGTTCCCGTTCTGAGTCTCATATTTTCAGACCCATGCACACTCAAATTTCTGATCCAGGAGAATGCAAATGACCACTGAGTAGGGATCTGCACAGGATTTCTTCTTTTCTTTCTTTTTGAAAAAGATTTATTTTAGTTTTATTTGTGTGTACTCCCCCCTCTATATATACGTGTGTGTGTGTGTGTGTGTGTGTGTGTGTGTGTGTGTGTGTGTGTGTGTGTGTGTGTTTGCAAGTGTGTATGGAAAGTGCCTGCAGAGCCCAAAAGACCTCATCAGATTGGCTAGAGTTAGAGTTGTGAACCTCCTAAAGTGGGTGCTGGGAATCAAACTTGTGTCTTTCATGTGTCTTTTGGAAGAGCAGGAACCAGCCCTCTGAACTGCTGAGCTGTCTCTCTAGCCCCCAGTACAGGATTTCTTTGCCTAATATATGGAAGTGCTGTGACTTGAAGTGAATCCTGAATCCTCTAGGAGAATGCCACTGTGTGCTGGGTTTGGGGTTGTACCAACTGCTTTGGAATTCTCCACACTTAGGATTGTGTGAGCCATTGCACTGGGCAGGTTAAACAAACACAGTGCTTTTGTCTCTGGGTTTATAAGGTATTATTCATTGCATGGTGAATCAACTCTTCCACTTTCCAAGCATGCCCACCACTGGTACAATTACAGCCACTTATTCTCACTGTCCGTTGACAGGAAGCAACAGGTTGAGATCTTCAAGATTGTATTGCCTTTCAAACTAAACATCTGTGTAGAGTTCACTCAAGAACCTATCATCCACGAGGGTTTAAGTTTCTTGTGAGCTAATTACTAGTGGCTGCAGACAAAGGTTAATCGTGGGCCTAGAGAGATTCACTGTACTCCCACAGACATAAGCAAGCTCACCCATGCATGTTTCTGCTCTCCCCATTTTATTTTCAGAGAATATATCCCCCAGCAAATTGTACCCTGTAAAGTTCAACTTAAACTTCCCAGAGGATTTTTGTGAAGCTACTAACATACGATATTTTTATACTAATTTCTAAAAGCTGGTAGTAATTCCCTAGCCCTAACAAAAAGATGCAGAAATCGGGCAGCTGCTATTCCTTATTGAATCTGGGTCTCAGATGAAAGATGTCTAAGGACTATGCACACAACAGGACATTCTGTGTCAAAGTAGAGCCCATTAAAGCTTGTTCTGCATGTCCCTTGGGCCAGCAAGAGGGGGGTTTCCTCTAGCAAGGTTGGCTATGTTTGGGGTAAGGTAAGCGATAGGATTGCCTTCCACTTTCCTAAGAAAAACACTTGAGATGGTTTGGGTAAAGGGCTCCATTCACAGGAGGCATTTACAAGTTCATAATTACTGTCTGCAATTACATTCAAAATAATGATATTCAGTTGCTTAATTGGCAGGTTTATGGGATACACAGTGCTGGGAAAACCGGAGACTGAGAAACCTTGGCTGGGCCATAGGAAAATGCAATAGGAATTTCTTTAAAAAGAATACTTGATTCTTATCCATTCAAGAGCAGGGGAATAAGTGCAATTCTTACTCCATTCCCAAGGAAGGAGGGGGCACCCATGGTGCCAGCTCCATAAATCCTCCTTATTGGGTGTGTGTTCAATGATGAGAACTACAAGCTCTACATATATGCAGCTGGCAAAACTCTTGGCAGCTATCAGAATCACCACAGATGCTAATCACAGCATTGAAGACCCAACTTTTTAAATTGGGCCAGGGCCTCAGCATGGATAATTCTGCTAAGTTCTCCAGGTGACTGAGATGCCCAACAGAGCCTGAGATCCAAAGGACCGAGATAAATTTAAGGTAATAAAACAAATTATTGGCATTTGGGGAATAAATTGTTTATTCTCTCAGCCTCTAATGTTTTACACAGCTTTAGATAATGTTCCAGTTAGTTTTTATTGTCAAGTTGACACAACGTAGAGTCACTTGGGAAAGAGGAACCTCAACTGAAGAACCGCCCTTTTCAAACTGGCCTGTAGCCATGTCTGTGAGAGATTGTCTTGCTTGATGACTGATGTGGGAGGGCACTGTGGGCATCACTATCTCTAGGTAGGCACCCCATGCTGTCTGAGCATGAACCAGTCAGTGGGCCAGCAAGCAGCATTCCTTCATTGTTTCTGCTTGGGTTCCTGTCCTGACTTCCCTCAGTAATGGACTGTAACCCAGAAATGTGAGGTGTACTAAACTCTTTTGACCAGAAATGTGAGGTGTACTAAACTCTTTTGACCCCTAAGTTGCTTTTGATCCTGTTGTTTAGTACAGTAGCAGAAAGAAAACTAGGTAGCAAAGACTTGTGTTCTCATTCACAAATCCCCCAGCTGTTGTTGGGTCTACTGAGTGAAGTCCTGAACATCAGGCACTAGTTGAACATCATCCTGAAGATGCAGGTATGGATGTAAGTAGGTATTTATTCGAAGAGATTGTTTGGGGTGTTATCTGGAACACACTGCTCATGGTGGTAGAAATCAATTTTTTAAAGGCCTAGGGATGTAACTTAGTTGGTAGAGTGCATGCCTAGCACACACAAAGCTCTGGGTTCAGTCCCCAGAATCACACTTACCAGACATAGTAATACATATCTTAGCAACAGATGGAGGCAAGAGGATCAGAATGTCAAGGATCAAGGTCATCCTCAGCTACACAGAGAGTTGGAGGCCAGTCAGGCCTACATGAGACTCTGTCTCAAAAGAGGAAGGGGTCAGTTCTTTGCTTAACATTCATAAGGACCCATGTTTGAGTTAAAAAAGGGGGAGGTCCTATAAATAACCATATCTTACTAGTCACGTGATATAAACCATTTGTTCTTAGCTGATATCTGGCTTTTAACACAACATTCTATACAAAAGAATTAACCAATATAATTTGTCAGTTATGATACAAATTGATAGATGGAATAAAAGACAACAGCTAGCTGGGACATGTGAATTAACACTAGAGAAACATGCTCCTGGTATTCTCAAGGGAGTTTAGACACAAATAATTGAATCTGCATTTCATGTCTGTCATTCTAATGGCTTTGAGTGCCATAATACTGACCTACATGGTCTTTAGCAAAAGAGAAATGAGCATAAACCTCAATAACCTAACCACCTACATCTTATCTCTGGAAATGATAAGAGGTGATGGAAAATAAATCTGTCTGTCAAAGAAGGGAAATTATACTAAAATATTCAAGTATTTCAGGACACAAAAGCCAGTTGATATCTTAGAAAGGAACTAAAGTAAAGGAAATAAAATTATGACCAAGTGGCCAGAAGGGTCATCTGAGTAGGCTGGGATTTCCTATTACTCATTCAGAAAGTGTTTAGCTTGTATTAAAAGACCATTGATATGTCCTTATTTTTTGATGTTGCTGCAATACGCACAGTGTCTAGCATAATGTCCTAAGTGCTATTTAACGCCCGTCCCTCCTTAACAAGCCATTTGCTGTGTGCTGGCTGCTTGTCTAGTTTCTGTGACAAAA